GTGCAGCCACCTTCATCAATGATCTCAGCCAGATCTTCCGGATAACTTGCTGCAGCTTCTCCATCAGCGCTTGCTGCTTCACCGTGTACGTTCATGTTACAGAGATGGCTTCTTTCCTTAAACCTCATGAACCCACCTCTGCTGGCTTCCAACTTTCCTTCTGTGCTTTCTCACCTCTCTCAGCCTTCACAGAACTGAAGAGAATTAAGACCTTGCTCTGAACTAGGCTTTGGCTTATGCGAATGTTGTGGCTGGTTTGATCTTCCATCCAGACCACTCAGACTTTCTCCATATCAGCAATAAGACTGTTTTGCTTTCTTATCATTTTTGTGTTCATTGGAGCAGCACTTATACATTTCTTCAAGAACTTTTCCTTTGCATTCACAACTTGGCTAACAGGCGCAGGAGGCCTAGCCTGTGGCTTAGCTCAGCTTTTGACGTGCCTGTCTCTCAAAGCTCAATCATTTCTAGCTTTTGATTTAAAGTGAGAGATGTACTACTCTTTCACTTGAACACTTAGAGGCCCATGTAGGGTTATTAATTGTCCTAATTTCAATATTGCTGAGTCTCAGTGACTAGGGAGGTCCAAGGAGAGGGAGAGAGATGCGGGAACAGCCGGTTGGTAGAGCTGTCAGAACACACACAACATGTAGCGATTAAATTTTCTATGGGTATAGTTCATGGTGACCCAAAGCAATTATAATAGCAACATCGAAGATGCCTAATCACAGATAATCATAACTGTAAGATGATGATGACATTTTGAATTGTTGCCAGAATTACCAAAATGCGACACAGAAACAGGCAGCGAGAGCGCGGGTTCTCGCAGGGTGGCCACCGACTTTCAGTTTGTAAAAACCGCGGTATCTGTGAAGCACAGTGATGTGAGATGCAGCAACTGGAGGTATTTCTGTGCTGTAATCAGTCATGAATTAGATGAGTTTTTCTGGATTCACTTGGGAATCTAGCGCTGGGTGATATGTGTGTAAGGAAATATAGTCTCGGTTTTAAACAACCACTTTACACATGAATATGTGGAGCGCAACCCATTTATCATTTGAGGATTATCCAGGTGAAACTGTCCTTACCAAAGTCATCTTTTGACTCCTCTGGGAATGATTCTTCCTGGCACGTGTCTTTTGAGGCCCTAAGTCTACTTGCTGCTTGTTTATTGACTACATTTTCCTATTGAATGCCTACAAAAGTTAAATGAATAAAAAGAGAAGGATGCATTTAAACCAGCTCTGCTATTTGGAAATTCTGAGTAAACCCTCAGTTTGGTGAAGGGTGATACATCTCAGAAAGGCGGTTTTGGTTTTAATGGTGCATTTTCTTTCTGCATTTTCCCTCTGATCCCAATGCCACGACTTACTAAGTTATAAAAAGCCCTCCAGTTGCTTGGAGAGAAGGGTGCTTTAGGGCATCTGTACAGATTTCTGAAATGAATGGCGAGGCAAATTGCATCAACTTTCCATTTTTCCCTGATCCATTTTCTGCAGAGTTCTGAGCTTCCTTTGGGGCTTCATGAATGCTGCATGTCTAATGAATGTAGCACAAAATAGTAGGGTCTAAAAAAGCCAAGGTATGTGCTTCTTTCTATTTTCCAGGCGCCTATTGCACATGTAACCAGGGCAGTACCTTCCTCATGGATTCCAACACCACAGCCTTGTGCCATCTGCATCCCTTCAGACCTTTACGAGTAAGTTCTACGACCAAATCAACGTTTAAATGCATTCATCTCTTTTTATCTTCTCAACCTGGGCTGCTCATTGGAATCACCTGGGAAGCTTTAAAAAATACCAGTGCCTGTGTCACAACCCCAGGGCTTCTGACTCAACTGATTTGGGAAATGGCCTGGGTGTTGAGATTTTTAAAAAGCGCCTCAGGAGCTCTTGATGTGCAGCCAAAGTTAACAATCACTGCTCAGACCGAATTCACTTTATATAGAAATATCCTTACTTATACACAATTTAAAATTCCTATTAGGTCAATAAATATTTATTGAGTGCCTCCTCTATATAAGGCATGAAGACACTCCTGGCACAGTCCATACCAACCAGTAGCTAAAACCTAATGCAAGCAAGAGTGGGCTAGTGTAAGAGGGCGGGTAGGCAGGTACACAGAGATTGTATTCTATATAAAACTGTACAGGTCAAGTGTGGTGGCTCATGCCTGTAATTCCAGCACTTTGGGAGGCCAAGGCTGGTGGATTGCTTGAGGTCAGGCGTTTGAGAGCAGCCTGGCCAACATGGTGAAACCACGTCTCTACTAAAATTTCAAAAATTAGCCGGGCGTGGTGGTGGTGGGGTACCTGTAATTGCTTGAACCTAGGAGAATTGCTTGAACCTAGAAGGGAGAGGTTGCAATGAGTGAGATCAGGCCACTGCACTCCAGCCTGGGTGACAGAGTGAGACTCTGTCTCAAAAACAAACAAAAGACATTGTAGAAAGTAAACTTCTCTTCCTCCAGACTCAAGGAATTTGGTATATGGCTTCAAAGAAAGTAGAACTCTATTAGGTTGGAGTGTGGGAGATCCTAAAATATATCGGAGGTGATGGCATTTGAGATGGACTTGAAGGAACTGATGACTTCCATAGATGGAGACTGAAGAGAGCCTTCTAGGCAGAGGCAGAAGAAAGGCATGTGGCTGGAAAGCAGGGGCCTGCGTGAGGTTTGCTGCTGTGTTGGGAACTTTTCTGAGTAATGGGTGAAAAGCTTTGGGATCATATTAGGGTAGCACAGAGCAGGCCAGCTGGTACCTAAGTTGGCTCCAGCTAGCCATTAGGGGTTTGAAAACTTGGAAATAATATTAATATAACTGGAGCAGTATTTTGCAAAGAATGATCTGCTACTGAGATCTGGGCTGGGTTTGAGTAGGGAGAAACAGCAGGACTAGAGGCACGAAGACCGGAAGGAGTATGCTATGGTTTAAATCAGAAGTATTGAGGGCAAGTGGCCGGACATGGTGGTTCACGCCTGTAATCCCAGGACTTCGGGAGGCCAAGGTGGGTGGATCACTTGAGGTCAGGAGTTCAAGACCAGCCTGGCCAACCTGGTGAAACCCCATCACTACTAAAAATACAAAAATTAGCCAGGCTAATTTTTGATGGCTAATTTGATGAAAAATTAATGGCTTACATCTGTATTCCCAGCTACTTGGGAGGATGAGGCAGGAGATTCGCTTGAACCTGGGAGGTGGAGGTTGCTGTGAGCTGAGGCTACTGCTGCATTCCAGGCTGGGCAAGAGAGCAAGACTCCATCTCAAAAAAAAAAAAAAGTATTGAGGGGCAAGTGAAGACAGTAATGGAAGTGTGAACTGGAGCACTGCAGGGGAAAGGAAGAAAATCCTGACTATAAGAAGAATGATAGAAGTAGAATTAGCAGAACTTGCCTATTGATATGGCAGAGGAAGCAAAAACTGACTTGGATGTTTCTTATGAGAATTATGAGGAATGCAATGGTGCCATTAACTAAAATCATTAAACTAGGTTGAAAAATAGTTTATAACGGGAAGATCAATCTGATTTTGGATATGTTGAAAACAAACACATCCAATGGAACTAACATTTTTATTCAAATATTCCTCATTGTAATTGAATTCTAGTGGGATTTTAAAAAATTTAATATTTTGTGAAGATCGAGTCTCACTATGTTGCCTAAGCTGGCCTCAAACTCTTGGGTTCAAGTGATCCTCCTGCCTCGGCCTCCCAAAGTGCCAGGATTACAGGCATGAGTCATCATGCTGGGTTGAATTCTAATGGAATTCTTAAAGCAGGGCCCTGATTTGTGTGACGCAGTGGTTCTCAACAGAGGGGTATTCGGCCTCTCAGGGAACACATGGCCGTGTCTGGAGAGATTTTGGGCTGCCACAACCGTGGAAAGGATGTCCAGTAGGCAGAGGCCAGAGATGCTGCTAAACATCCTACAATGCACAGGACAGTCCAACATAACAAAGAATTATCCAGTCCAAAGGGTCGGTAGTATTGAGTTTGGGAAACCCTGCCTTAATATAATCTAATAGCTAAAATTTCAGGAATTTTTAGACCTGCTAATATTTGGGGTTAGACAGCGCCACCTAGTGGCCAAATGTATTATTTATCCCAGTGCTCTGTTGAACACTGCAAAATAAGAAATAAAAAATTCAGAAAGCTAAGACCCACAGAGATGAAGAATATCCTTTCATGGGAGAACTATCTAGGGTTTACAGAAGTAGATGTGATGGGGAGGTCTAGTGTACAATCTAAAAGCAATTATGAAGTTAGAAGGTGCTCTTTAAGCTGGGCGCAGTGGCTTACGTATGTAATCCCAGCACTTTTGGAGGCCGAGGCGAGTGGATCACTTGAGGTCAGGAGTTTGAGACCAGCCTGGCCACCATAGTGAATCCCGGTCTCTATAAAAAATACAAAAATTAGCTGGACGTGGTGGGATGTGCCTGTAATCTCAGCTACTCTGGAGGCTGAGGTAGAAGAATCGCTGGAACCTGGGTGGCAGAGGTTGCAGTGAGCCGAGATCACAGCACTGCACTGCAGCCTGGGTGACAGAGCAAGACTCCATCTCAAAAAAGAAAAAAAGAGAAAGTGCTCTTTGTTTATAAGAGATCTCATAATATGGAAATAGTATTTTACTGGATTCCACATGAAATGCATTCTATTCCATTAAGGTTGCCTATATTTTACTACTGTTACTGAATAAATTTTTTAAAAAGCAGAATCTAATAATTGTGTGAATAACTGAAATAATTATTGCTTGAGATGCAACCTATGGCATTTTATTTTATTAAGAAATAAAGATTGGAAAGATTTTTAAAGTTATGAAAAAATAGAATGAAGACCACTAAAAACTTCTATTTTGCTTCAAGAAACAGCATTCCACATGCCTCACATATTACCTTCCCTAGCAGGTTGTGAGCTCCCTGAGGGCGGGGACTGTGTCTTATTCACATCTTTGTATCTGCCGCAGTATCTAGCACAGCATCTCATACAGAGTAGACATACAAATGATTTCTCGAGTGAATGAATTTATTTTTATACTGGAAATCCTTGCCTTGAAGTGAAGAAAGTTTCAAGCCTTTCTAAGCACTTACTGTCTGTTCACACAAATACAATGCCAGCTGAGGGTGCTTGGCACAGACAGCACTAGAGATTCGAGCACAGGGAGTTGATAACAGACACCTGCAATTCACTTCCCTGGAGAGCCTAGAGCAAACTGTGCTGTGAGGCGCATTCCCAGGGCAGTGTTTGGACTGCTGTGTGGGCTGTATATTCCTGCAGAGTATAAGATTAGGCTATCTTATAATAGACACAATAATATAAGATTCATTCATCCAGCAAATATTTATTGAATGTCTACTTTGTGCTAGGTACTCTTCTAGGCACTAGGGATACCACAGTGAACTTAAGTCTAAAAATTCCTTAAGAGGCAGGGTTTGAATTGGTGATTAGAATAAAGATGCATATTCCCCTTTCCCCTAACTTTTCCACTTAGCAGAATATTTTCTACATAGAAAATGCACTTTGTCCAATGATCTCAAAGCATTTCAAAGCTATTAAAGAGCTCTCCTTCCAAAACCGCTGCTCTGCTGGGGCAAGTGACAAAAACAACACTCTCCCATCATTTCCTCTCCTTGTCTGTATCGCTTCCCTCCTCCTACACTTTCAGACTCTTGGGGAGAAGGGTAGGAGTGCATGAGGTGTATTTTATGGGCAAATGATGACTCTTGCACATTTTGTAAGTGGCAATTGAAGCTAGTAGTTTAAAAAGTGACCCCGCAGAAGGTTTCTTTCTGCTTGGTTTATTAACAACTCTTTAGTTCTAGTGTCTAGGGATATGCAAAGTCAGAAAAAAACCAGTCACCACCCAAAAGAAAATGGTGCAGACAAGCTGGTGAGGCCATGTTTTGGCCACAGAATAAGTGCACTGTGCAATATCAAGTGTCTGAGTGAGTTTTTGGAATCTCAAACACATTTTGACACCTTAGTATGTGGCTCAGTACACCCACGATACACAAATCAGAAGTGTTCGTCTCCATATGTGAGTTGTATGGCATGACCTCCTAATGCTACGTGGAAGCTGATTTAGTAAATTCGCCAAAGCTACTGCTATACATGTAATCGATGAAAGGTGATGGTGACCTCCCCACCTTTCTTTTTGGCATTGTTTGGTAAGTTAGTTATATCCTAAGGTCACTACTGCCTAACTCCTCTCAGCCCAGGCATACGGCTCCTAATTGCTCCTAGTACTTAAGATCCCTAACAAAACGGGGGCCAGGGGAGCATGCTAGTTTTTTCCCAAAGCAGTGGATGGCAATTGTGTGACATCTTTGATTCATCTGTTTTATCTTCTCACATCTTTGTTGGAATCTTTAGAAGGCACAGCCCTTTCTCCCTCAGCTGAGACTGCAAGAATCCCCAGCTGCCTTATTCAAAGCACTTCTTGCCACCGGTCGGGCAGCGTGGGAACTTACTCAACTTCGGTTGCTTGGAAACCACTGAGTCCGGCTTGTTCTCCTTTCCCCTCCGCAGTCCGCTCCCTTACACAGCAGGCACCCAGACATTCTTAAAGTTCATCACTCTCCACTACACTCCCAGAAGAGTATGAATACACCATCGTGCTTTCCATGGAGGAAAAGGCAGAAAATATGTCAAGTCCTTTACTGGTGAGAGATCCATAGCGACTGCCGCTGGGCCGAATGGACATGGGTGGTGGGATCTGATGGTGCCACTGAGCTGGAAAATGGACCAAATAATGTGTTACGATCAAAGGAAGGCAGTCCAGCAGGTATGCTGCAGAGGTGCATTCTGTCCTCACCCTGACGCTCCCTGCAGATTCTTGGTAAGGCATTTAACTATATCTGGGTCCGAATTGCCCTATTTGTAGAAAAGCGTAATAAAGCCTTCCCTGCCGGGAATAGGGAAATTGTGACGGTGATGTCTTAAGCCCCTAATTGCAAAATCTATGATTCAAATTCAGTTAGAGATTAGAATCCTATGAATGAGAGATTAAAATTCCTATGAGATGGGGCCAGGTACGGTGGCTCACACCTGTAATCCCAGCATTTTGGAAGGCCGAGAAGGGCAGATCACTTGAACTCACGAGTTTGAGACCAGCCTGGCCAACATGGTGAAACCCAGTTTCTACAAAATACAAACATTAGCTGGGCATGGTGGTGCACACCTGTAATCCCAGCTACTCGGGAGGCTGAGGCAGGAGAATCACTTGAACCCGGGAGGCAGAGGTTGCAGTAAGGTAAGATCACACCAAAGCACACCACCACTCCACCAGCCTGGGTGACAGAGTGAGACTCCATCTCAAAACAAAAGAAAGACAGAAAGGAAGGAAGGAGGGAGGGAGGGAGGGAGGGAAGGAAGGAAGAAAGAAAGGAAGGAAAGAAGGAGAGAGAGAGAAAGAAAGAAAGAGAAAGAATTCTATAAGATGAAAGAGTGAAGAGTGGGTGACTAGACTGATTTCTCAAGCTTGTCCCCTTACCCCGACCTACCATGAAGGTCTGTTTGGGGCGTGCATAGAGGGCTGCAGGCCCTCAAAGGAGGGTACCTCAAAAGATAGAGACAAGCAAGCTGCAGAAATGAAAGCCAAATAATGGATTCCACCTTCTGAGCAGTACCTACCTCATACCCTAATCACCCTAATGGGTCATTACCTACCTACTCACCACCCTAATCAGGTCATTGTTCCAGCAAGAAGATTGAAAAGTAGGTACAATCAGCCATGGCTCAGGGACAGTATTTATTAGAGTTTCTATGTTCGTCAAGTGCTGCTGTTTTTAGCAGACACGACTTTAAGGTTTGAACATGGCCTGAGTGAGATATCCACCCAAACTGCAGTCTCTGCTGTGGTCCCTGATTCAGAAATTACCAGGCAATCTTCTGATTAGGTTTCTGGGGATCTTGATGTGGAGAAGGGGGTTCCCTAGGTGGTGAACTCTTATGCTCTGGATCCTGGAAAGCTGAACCCCTTTCTAGCATTCAGATTTAGAAATTGATCCTTTGTTGATTTCATTATCTCGATTCAGTTTTTCAGTCTACAAACCTCTGAGTGAATTCAGAAAAATCCAATTTGGAGGACCAAACCTAGAGCCGTTTCACTAAAGGACAGACACTCAGTAAGGCCCGCTCTTGCACAGTCTCTCCTCCCAGCCCCTCCATCTCTTAGCCCTTCCCGGCTCGCTCTGACATCTTAACTGGACTGCTGTACTTTCTAGGATTAGAAGCCCTCCTTTAGAAGAGAGAGGGGGGCCCTACATGTCCCTATTCCTCAGAAAGGCAGGAAGGTGTGGTGGCAGGGAAGGGAACTGATTCTAGCCCAAATCCTCCACCCCTTCTCCATCCTAGGTCCCAGCTGAGGAAACAGCACCTCCTATTGTTGGTGCTGTGGAATCAGGACAGGAGCGAGGGGTAGGACAGCTAGGACAAAGTGACCTGGAAACTCAGCCACGGGAGGGCAGGACTGGGATAAGAGTCATCTGTTTCAGGGCTATTGGTAGGGAGTTTCTCAGTTGGTGAAGACGGGGAAATGGTTAAGGACTTAGCCTTGATTAAGGAACATATCACTACTGGCCTCTTTCTCCCTGACTTTTTCAGGGAAAAGTATATTAGTGTCTGCTTCCTTCACAGTTTAGTTTCTTCTCAAGTCTTAGGATAAGGGAGAAAACCAGAAAACCATATATTTTCTCCAAAAACTAGACCTAGGGAGCAGTGGCAGGCTGAAGCCTCTACTGTATGGTACTAAATAAAGGGAATACCTGCTATGCACCCATAAATAGCAGGGACATCTATCAGGTAACAGATAGAGCTACTCCTTTTTTTTTTTTTTTTGGAGGGGGGGATGGAGTCTTGCTCTGTCACCCAGGCTGGAGTGCAGTGGTGCAATCTCGGCTCACTGCAACCTCTGCCTCCTGGGTTCAAGCAATTTTCCTGCCTCAGCTTCCTGAGGAGCTGGGATTACCTGTGCCTGCCACCATCCCCAGCTAATTTTTGTATTTTTAGTAGAGACGGGGTTTCACCATGTTGGCCAGGCTGGTCTCGAACTCCTGACCTCAGGTGATCCAACTGCCTCGGCCTCCTAAAGTGCTGAGATTCCAGCTGCGAGCCACCTTGCCCAGCCCACCTATCTTTACAGAAAGATTTTTAAGCTGTCAGTTGCATACAGGTGTTCAACAGACAGCACTACACTTACCATATATATCCAGCCTGGCAGTGCACGACACGATGCCAGCTTCGTTCTTGGCTGACAACGTGTACCACCCAGCGTCTGATTTCTTGGCCGGCTGGATGAGGAGGCAGACGTACCCTGTGGTGTCCTGGTGCATACTGGAGAAAAAGAGAGAATATACCTATATTTTATCTGGAGGCAGAAGTGCCTTTGTCAAGTTTAGGGTTCCAGGAAGAAGGGGGAATGCAGCTTAAGGCAAACATTAAGACAAATTTGAAGGTGGAAAACGTTACAGAAGAGCAGCAGCGAACCTAATCATGGTAGGAGGAAGGGACAGCCGGGACTGAGACCCGCCTTCGCCCTCCCCCACAGCTGCAAGTCCACCGAAGTTGTGCTCCCCATCAGCAGAACCCCCACTTTTCACAGCCAAAGTTCAGAAAGATCTCTTCCCAAACGATGGACATTTCAGCAATAACTTGTTAGGACACTCTGGGAAATCAGGACGAAATGGAGTGCAGGGCTGCATGGACTGGCCGCATAGACGGCATCTCCTAATGCAGCCAGCTGGGCTCCTGCAGCATCCAGTGTAATGAGGTTTAGGAGGAAACCAGCCTGCTCTTTCCTTCCGTTTTTCTCCACATCAATAGTTCTTCACCTTGGCTGCACATTGGAATCCCAGGCCATATCCCAGGTAATCATATCAGAATCAAAGGCCAGGATCCAAGCATTAGGATTTTTGGAAACTCCCCAGTGATTCGAACATGCAGCCATGGATCAAAAACCATAGGGCCACGTGTTCCCTACACCCCTCGTCAGCCTGGCCGTCTTGTCACACATTGTTCCAAGCTCTCCTCTGGGGCTGCCACAGCTCATTTGCAGGGTTGAGGCAACAGCAACAGCTTCCGGAGCCCAAAGGATAAGTGTTTACCTTTTGTTGAAAGGTATTACGTCCCAGAATTTATAAAGTAATAAGAAAAAACAAGAATAAATCAATTAATAAGTATAACAAGAATAAAGTAATAAAATATCCACCACAATTTTACTACACTAACACATTGGCTACCTTCACCTTCTGATTAATAAATTAATCTATTCATTCTTTGATATATTTCTTTAGTAAACCCTTATTGAATACTATGTTGGGGAAAATGCTGGGTGCCACTGCCGTGGGTGCTGAGGGTGTAAAGAGGAACAGGACAAAAATGCCTTCTCTTTTTATGAGGCAGAGTTTTGCTCTGTCACCCAGGCTGGAATGCAGTGGTGTGATCTTGACTCATTGCACCCTTCACCTTCTGGGCTCAAGAGGTTCTTGTGCCTCAGCTTCCCAGGTAGCTGGGATTATAGGTGCCCGCCATCATGCTTGGCTAATTTTTTTTTTTTTTTTTTTTTTTTAGTAGAAATGGGATTTCACCATGTTGGCCAGGCTGGTCTCGAACTCCTGACCTCAGGTGGTCCACTCACCTCAGCCTCCCAAAGTGCTGGGATTATAGGTGTGAGCCACCATGCCTGACCAAAGAAATCCCTTCTCTAGAAGAATCTCTCGGTTTAACGAGAAATAAATAAATAAAAGATAAATAAGTAGAAATAAAGATAAATAGGATGCAAGTCACGCCATGGGAAAGACGCCTGGGGAACACAGAGGAGAAAGGTTATTCTGGGAAGCCACAGGCATCGAGGAGGAGGCATGAAGATGCTGGATGTTCGGAAGCACAAGCGTATGTAAGGTTAGGCTCACAGAAAAATGTAACCTGTACAAAGACCTGAGATGACTAAGATGAGATTACTTAAAAAATCCATTTCTCGCCGGGCGCGGTGGCTCACGCCTGTAATCCCAGCACTTTGGGAGGCCGAGGCGGGTGGATCACGAGGTCAAGAGACCGAGACCATCCTGGTCAACACGGTGAAACCCCGTCTCTACTAAAGCTACAAAAAATTAGCTGGGCATGGTGGCGCGTGCCTGTAATCCCAGCTGCTCAGGAGGCTGAGGCAGGAGAATTGCCTGAACCCAGGAGGCGGAGGTTCCGGTGAGCCGAGA